CATGTGATATTTCAGTTTTTCTTTTTTAATAAATCTGCAAAAATGTCAAAAATTCTGTGTTTTTCTGTCAATATGGGGTGCTGTGTGTACATTAATGAGGAAAAAAATGAACTTAAATGATTTTAGCATATGGCTGCAATATAACAAAGAGTAAAAAATTTAAGGGGGTCTGAATACTTTCCGTACCCACTGTACACTTAATGATGCTGAGCTCATTAAAAAAATACAATTTGGCCATAAATAGAATAGCTTTTGTGAAAGATCTTGTGCAAGATGCAATTGCTCCAACAAACAAAAGAACAAGTGACATCTCCACTGAAACTGCATGTCGTTGCATTGTTAGATACACTTTTTATTAACAAAGCAGCTGCAGCAACAGTGATGGTTTGAGTCTATCAAAGCCGACAGTTTTGACCTCGATGGCTCTGACAGGTCCACTGATGATGCACTGATTTATTCATTTCCACTCAGTATTAATCAATGAAAAACCAGCTACAAATACACAAATTGCTGGTTTCCATGAACATGCTAGGGTCATTGATGGCACACAAGTTAAAATAATCACCACAAGCACGAACAAATGTGCTTCTGTGAATCGAAGATGTTATCACAGCACTAACACTTAAGTGGCTGTGAACTATGTGATCCTTGATTCATTTAGTGGCCCAATGGACCCACACACTACTTAAGTGACAGTGAATGTGGACAAAGTTTTTTTTTGAAAACAATTATGGTCCCCCTGAATACACTGCTTTATTATATGGAATTAGAAAAAACAGGGCTGATAAAGACGATTTCACACAGGTGAGTTACATTATCAGTGGCTTTCCAATAAACATACAGCCCATTGCATAAAGAGAACTGACATAAAGCACATTATTACAGCGTATGGCCGCGTTTACCAGCTTCCTTTTATACACATAAAGCCTTCATTTGACAATGGTAAGGTTATGACTACAGACCCTGACTGTCAGAAAAACGACGACCCATCAGTACAATGTGACCTTTGCAGCTTTTGAGTGTTGTAAAACAGTGACGTCTTTCCTAGGAGTGGGGTTTCTCCTCCCTGAAAGTGAGAGGAGGACGCTTCATGTAACTTTTAAGTTTACTGTGAGGTAGGACTTCTTTTAGCCCTAACTTAGGAGTGATTCTGAGACGCTTGATAAATACAGGCCCTGGGCAATGTTCTCCTAGGAAACACTGGGTCCTAGATTTCATGTGCATGTTACTTTGACACATACCACCTGCCTAAACATTGTTCCAGACTAAGTATACCCCTGCATAGCAACCGTATTCCCTGGTGGCAGGGGCCTCTTTCAGCAGCAGGATACTTTGCCCCACTGTGCTGCAAAAATATTCAGGAACCTGACAAAATCTCCAGATCTCAATTTGATCAAACTTGTGTGGAAAAACAAGTCCAATCCATGGCGGCCCCACTTTAACTTCCAGAACTTAAAGGATCTGCCGCTAACGTCATAGAGCACCTTCACCTCCACCTGTGGCATCCACGCTTCCACAGGTCAGAGCTGTTTTTGTAGCACAGTATGAGGCTGGCAGTTTTAATGTTATGGCTGAACAGTGTATGTAACTTTTGAGTTTTTCAGGTTTTTGAGAAGTATGCTCTGTACTGTACATCATCATGACTGTATAACAAACAGGGTGTGCTATTATTGAGTGGAAGTAAAGTAATTAATATTTCATTGTTATTCATCAATTAATAATTCATTCCCATACATAAAATGTTATTAGCTGGGTTCCCTCTACCTGCCTTGTCTCTTTCTACTGAAAATCGACTGCTGATTTCCTCTGTTTCCAAGATTACTTCTCAACAGTCCCCATGAAAGTCAAGAGCTTACTACGTGTTCAGAGATGCAGGAAATTAGCACGTTTTTTGGTGTTGTTTACTACAGATTGGAGAGGAAAGGCCCTTCAGCCATTTGGGTTACTGGTAAAAAATATCCCACTTCCCACCAGACCTGCATAAAGCACAGAGTCCAAACAAACTCACCAGTTTCCACCTCAGGATCTTGATCCACTCGTCTGCTTCCACACCTGTCTTTGTACAAAGATAAAATGTTCTTTCGGGAAACACCAGACTGCAGACACAGAGAGACACAGAGAGTTACTCGGCTGGAAGAAAGGAGCTTTGGAAGACAGTACGTCATGCAGTTTTTACACATGAAAGTTGTATGTGTGAAGTGGACAAAGGACCAAACATTTGCTTTGTCATTTGACTTTGGACTAGGAAGAAGACATTGACTGCAGCTTCTCAGTCCACAATATGAACATATAAATATCACAATGCAACATTTTAGGAACAAAGTGTGTTGCAGTGGTGTGTTCATGAGAGGAGTGAGTCACTAAATCAGAAGGTGGTCATGTGATTTTATTTTTTACTTTATAGTGTCTTTAATCTGCCAGTACTCAGAGCCCTTGACAGGGTTGGTTTCATAGGATAGGATTCACATAAGCAGAGTTTATACAATAAAAAGAGTAGGGCAGAGATGGAAGTAATAAATTACAACTACTCTTGTTATTGTAATAAAGTAAACTTTTTGTGTATTTATATACTTTTTGAGGGTTTATGCAAACTGTAAATTTACCATTGGGTGCCCCGATAGCTGAATGGTTACAGTGCGGTGCACCATATACACAGGTGTGCAGGATGTCGGGGGTTCGGGTTCAGCTGCTGACTTATGTCACAAGTCCTCTCGTTTCCTGTCTGTGACATACTTAATTAGCCCATTAATTTTACTCCTAAATATGTTTAGTTTAAGGCATTGTACTACAATCTAAGCTGCCGGACACACAAATGGAAAACCAACGAAGTACAAATTTGAGCAATTTGCTCAATACTACAAATGGTGATCGGGGGAATACCTGTCTCATCTCCTCCTGAGGACTTTATTTTATATCAGGGGCTAAGTGGAGATTGTAAGTTTGGGAAATTTAGCCTATAGATACTCAACATGTCACCTTAGCTACAGCTGTTATAACAATTCAAGAAGGGCTTTTGCCATCACAACTGCAAAGTACTAGCACTGAGGTATTATGTGTACATGCTCTTGTCCCGTGTGCATTGCCTTTGAAAGGTCCTGGAAAAACAACCAAACAACTAAATAACTTTTACTCAAAGTAAGTTTTTTATTTGAATAGGTTTTTAGTCAAGCCATTTCACTTGTGCTTGAGTACAATTTCACCATAGTAACAGTACTTTAACTTGAGTAAAATAATGTGTACCCTGGAACAGGGTCACTATTTTTAAAGTCAATTTTATATCAGTAGTCCATATGAACACAGAAGCAGGCTTTGCATAGTGTAATCATTCTTCATACCGGCCATTAAGAGATTCAGTTCAGCTGATCTGCTCTGACAAAACGCTAAAGTTAAAAGTTAAAGCTCTAAAGGGTATATATATTTTCCATATATTTATATATTTGTCATTTCTGTTCATAACTGAATCTGGGATGTATCAATAATGATAAAACAACAAATTGGTCTCACACAATATATATTTTAAGGCGTTCCCATTCAGGGATGCAAAATCAAATGGAATCAGGAAGGACAGAATGAAAAGATAGAAATATTCTCAGCGGTAGAGGTCAGTGTGGCTGAAATTTACCGTCAGGAGAAAGGTATCAAATTTGCGGCCCTGGTCTCAGCATGACAGCTGTTAGTTGTTTGAGACCTCATGAGTGTAAATAACATGTTTGAGGAGGGAGAGGGTGTTTGTCAATCACATTGCTGGCCAGAGGAGAATGTGAGGGACTTTGACAGGCATGTGTTGATTTCTTCAACCATATTTAGGTTTGGTCACTGTAAACTTACACTTTTTTCTACACTTCCTCTCAGTCCACAGGTGCAGCACAACTTTCAGGCAGCAGATCCAAAGTGGAGGTGTATTCAAATTAACAGGTTTAGTAAATGCTGCCTTTCCACTATCAGAACCTAACCAGCGGTAACCCCATACTTCACCCCACATAACCTACTGGGTCGACATGGACCATCCTATGTTTTTCCATTGTATTTTCTCTATGTTAGGTCTCTGTTTAAAGGAGAAGGCAGTCAGCTGAGCAACGGGAGACCAGATGTCACTCTAAAGTGCCACAATCAGCCAGTAACAGAGACTGTATAGCAATTTATCAAACAACTGTTGAACAAGCAGAACAAAAATCTGCAGAAATGCGACGTCTTCACCGCTTTGCCTGCGATCCTCACTGAAATCCCCATTTTACCTCTAAACCACTATAAATGCCTCTTTACACACAGTGCTTGTAAAGCTAGTGATTGAGATGTGAAGAGCGGACAATTAACCAATCAGGGGGACTGGTTTGTGCACACACACCCCTCCCCCTCACATTCTTGGAACCTGATTATAGTACTACATCCTGAGGGGTGCTGAAATTTAGCTCCCAGAATGCACCTCCAAAGCGTGCGCACAGTAGTGGAAACAAATGCAGAACCAGTGATGAGTGTTACTCAGCTCAACACATTTCAGTAGGTTCCTATAATGAATAACCCCTAAAGTGTTACCCAGGAGCACCAGTGGCTATTTCTGTGGGAAAACAACAGTAAAATGTATAGAATACATAGATATTCACAACATTTTTCTGCTGTAAATTCACAAATTCTACCTTTAAGATTAGACTTAAGACTTTCCTATTGGAGGTTTCTTCTGTTAAAAAAAATTTTTCTTCTCCAGTGTCACCAAGTGCTTACACAAAGGGATTTTTTGGGTTTAACTCTATAATACTGTAAGTAAAGTGCCTTGAGATGATTTATGTTGTGAATTGACGGTTTACAAATAAAATTCAGTTCAGAGCTGACACAACAGAAATCCTGTTTGCCCCCACCCTGACACCCCTCATTTCCATCTGTTGTTGAACTGCTTAGACTTCCTCTTTTTTCGAACTAAATAAATGACCATTTTTGTTGCTATGGGGAAGTACAAGCCAGGCAACACCCACTGCAACCTCAGCCTGCAAGTGCTACACTTTGAAATAAATTTCAATCAGTTCTCATAATGACTTTTGTAAGACCATGAGCTGTAAATGAAAGCTCAGCTAGTAAGCAGCCCTTGAGTTAAGAGTATTTTGTCACACATACAGTATGTAGTTTTTATTTGGACTGAAGTTCCAAGATCTCATAGCACAGAGTGACAACAGGTTATTTGTGGTGGGCGGCAGAGCTGTTGATGGTTCTTTTATAGCACTTTTCTACATATTGAAGCACACTCAAAATGTTTTACACTATTACCCATTCACCCACTCACGCACACACATTCTCCAGTGATATCACTGGGAGCAACTTGGGGTGCAGCATCTTGCTCAAGGACTACCAACCCTCTGGTTAGGAGACAACCTGCTCTACCTCCTAGTCATTTAACAGATACATTACTGAGATTTTACAAGGATATATTACCAATTTGACAAAGCTGGCAAATGCCTCAGAGACCCAGTGTCAATGTAGGTTGTCAACACCCACAAGCTAGTGAGTAGGTTATTTCTTAGTATTGTATAAATACATGTAACCGAGAGGAAGGCTAAATCCAAATCTAAGCTACCCAAATGGTCATTACCCAAACAATTAAAAACCCACCCTAACAAATATTAAATCATTTAAGACAACTGGTGCTCCAAAAATGAGAGCAGAGGCAACGCTTCCAAATCAAAAATCTCAATTATATCATTCTAAAAAATACAAATCTAAAAATTTATTTTATAAAAAGGAAGACATTTTCTTAATTACTTTGAAAAATACAATGAACAATGACTAACCAAGCCTTAATAATCTATCGTTTGTTATTACTACTCAGGCCGAGGGACCCTGGCCAACTGGCTGCAGGGGAGGCCTATATAAGAGACATTCCCCTTATAGAGGGGAGGAGTTCAAAGAGTTTAAATCCAGGGTGAGAGGGGTCTGCAAAAATCCTCTCTGGCCCCTTTCTGACCCGTAAGGTGTACAGGTCCCCCATGGAGGGCAGGCTGGTACCGATGATTTCCTCTGCAGTCCTGACTGTTTGCTGAAGTCTGTACTTGTCCTGTTTGGTTGCTGAGTCAAACCAGACAGTGATGGAGGTGCAGAGAACAGACTTGATGATTCCTCTGTAGAACTGTATCAGCAGCTCCTGAAGCAGGTTGAACTTCCTGACGTAGGAAGTACATCCTGCACCTTTTTATTAATAGCATTGATGGTGGTTGTCCACTTCAAGTCCCCAGATATTGTGGAGCCCAGGAACTTGTAGGACTCCACGACTGAAACAGTGCTGGTGAATATGGCGAGCGAAGATAGGATGGAGAAGATCCTCCTAAAATCCACTATCATTTCCACTGTTTTCAACATGTTCAGCTCCAGGTTGTTATGACCACATCACAGACCCAGCTGTTCAAACCTCCCATCTGTAGGCCGACTCGTCTCCGTCTTGAATGAGGCCGATGACCATTGTGTTGTCTGCAAACTTCATGATTTTTACAGAGGGGTCTCCTGAGGTGCAGTCATTGGTATAGAGGAAGAATAACAGTGGAGAGAGCACACATCCCTGGGGGGCACCTGTGCTGATAGACTGGGTGCTGGATGTGGTTTTCCCCAGCTTCAATTGCTGCTTCCTGTCCATCCGAAAGCTGGTGATCCACTGACAGGTGGGGGCAGGCACAGTGAGCCGCGTTAGTTTGTTGTACAGGATGTCTGGGATGATGGTGTTGAATGCTGAACTGAAGTCAACAAATAAGATCTGAGCATAGGTCCCTGGTGAATCAAGGTGATGCAGGATGTAATGCAGTGCCATGTTGACTGCATCATCCACTGACCTGTTTGTTCAGTAAGCAAACTGCAGGGAATCCAGCTCGGGGTCTGTGATTGCCTTCAGGTGGGCCAATACCAATCTCTCAAAACACTTCATGACTACAGATGTCAGGACGACAGGTCTGTAGACATTCAGTTCCCTGATGGAGGGTTTCTTGGGAACTGGAATGATGGTGGAGCATTTAAAACTAATTCCCCTCTTTTGTGTCCCCAGTTTAAATTTTCCCATTACACTGTAGAAAATACTTTCTCAGCGCTGATCAATGAGTGACCATGACTTACCAGAAGCAGTTGACTCTGTCCTGAGAATAGTCAAACTGGACTGCAGAGCATGCTTTCAGATCCAGAGTTCGAATGGGCTCCTCACACTGCGACAGAACCACACTACAGCTTACACGTACTGTACACACTACAAGGTCAAACTTAATATAACTGCTGTACCCAAAGTTGGTATGTAACTCAGTAAATTTACTCAAATACAATTTTAAGGTACTGTATCTGTACTTGAACATTTTCATTTTATGCTACTTAATGCTTCAACTTCACTACATTTCAAAGAAAAATATTGGACTTTGTACTCACTACATTTATTTCATAACTTTACTTTATAGTTACTTTTCAGAAAGAGGTTAATAAAACAAAATACAGTATAATCACAAGATTTATTGTGCCTTGGTGTAAAATTCACAAGCTACCCAGCAGTAAATTATAAGCATATACCAAAGTTAAAATTAGCTCTACCTTTACCAGCTGCAGCATTAAATGTGATGAACTCAATAATGCATCAGTAATTATAATTGAATAATATGATGTACACCAATATAAACTGTGCCATTTTGCAGAACGAGTACATTTACTTTTGAAATTTTCTGTATATTTTCTACTAATACTTTTGTACTTCTACTTTAGCAACATTTTGAATGCAGGACCTTTACTTGTAACAGAGTATTTACACTGTGGTATTGCTGCTTTTACTTAAGTAAACAATGAGTAATTCTTCCACCATTGGCTGTACCTAAATACTCTAATCAAAAAATCATAAGTGAAGTTGAGAAATAGCACATTTAGCACACAATATCACAGAGCTGAAGAGAAACTCACCATTTTTTCTTTGAAGTATTTGAGTTCGTATCTGTTGAGTGTGAACCACCTCTGTTTCCAGTTCTGCAAAATTGTTAAAAGTAACACTGAACCACATACTTCCAAAGGCTCTGCAACATTATATTTAGATATTTTCAACTACAACCACAGATAGATAGATTTCCTGTTAAAAGCAGGTTTGTGTTCAGACACAATGGGGTGTGACTCCTCTACAGTGCTATTGCCCTTACCTTCACAAATGCTCCTTGTTTCAACAGATATCCTTCCTTTGTGGCCAGCTGAAAAAACATGCTTTGTGTTAGTAAAAAGAAATTTCTAATCATGAATAAAGGATTGACTTTCAAGCATAATTTAGATTTATTACAACTTACTCATGGGCCAAAATCATCTCAACGTTCACTTGGTTTGTGTGTGTGTGTAACTTTAAAGAGCCCATGGCTGCTCATTTTGCTAATTTCAAACCATTTAATGTTTAATCTTGGGTACTTCTAGATTAGCTTGGCACCCCTTATAACTCAAAACAGTCTGTAATTATTTCAGAACAATAAAACCAAAGAACATCTTCCTAAAAATGAGACGACAGTTTGTGAACGCGCACAACTCCTGTTGCGGATATAGGTAAACAATATGTACTGATGAAAAGAGATGTGGAACACTCTAAACAAAGTGGGTAGGTGAGGAACCCCATATTTTAACTGGCATAATGCAGACATGGTAACTTCTCCAGCCTTACAACAATTCTCTCCAACATTATAGAAACAAGGCATTAACAGACATGCAACGTGTGTTTTTTTTAAACTTGATTGTTAGTTATTGTGTTTGTTGTGTCTTGTTGCTTTTCTCTTCTTTTCTCTCTCGTTAATAGGTCGTTAATCCGCTCGTTAACCAGCAACATATCTCATGCAACAGACACATTGGCCTCAACAGGTACTATGCTTTGGGGGAATCCAGCATTGATGAACTGATCATTCACCGCCACCGGGGGCTTCAGGCCGGCTGCTTGTAGGTTAGACCTGGTCAGGTAAAACAGCGAGGGAAAGTATATCCACAAAACCAGGAGCAGTCAAAAAATTCTGCTTTTACAATGGCACGAGTGGATGTCAGGCAAGTTCACATGAATGCACAACTGCCTGAAGATTCATTTTCATTCATCAATTTTCCATTCAAGGAAATCCTTAAACTATCGTAATACTTAATTTTGTTAGAAAAAAGTCTCACAAGCGAGAGTTTGTGAAACGTGTATAATCCAAGTTACTTCTACATAGAAGTACTAAAACATACGTATGTACACCTCATGTTTTGAGTTTTATGTTACATCTAAGATGATAATTCAGGGTTGTAACATTGTTGGTAAGTCAAAAAAACAAGGAAAAGCGCCATGGGCTCTTTAAACCATATCTTACAGTTTCTTATCGGTGAATTAAGTTGTTGGCTCAATTGTCACTGGTTCTGTTAATTCAGTTCAGTCATCACGTAACCTAACTAGACGGCACCCAAAAACTGCAAACCTTCGCCAAGGCAGCTCAGTTTCTCTATAATGCCATTCCACCTAAATATTGCCATGATAGTTTGACCCTCATATGATTCCTTGATTATATGATTCCTTGACCATGAAACCCTTCCCCTAGCATTTGGAATCATACCATTATTAGTGTCACAGAAAGTAGCTGCATCATATAAAGTTACTCAAAAAAACAAAAAAAACCCAATAATATTCACTAATGGTGATTTTCTTCAGCCTTCTCCAGCACCAAACAGGAAGCAGCATAATGGGCACAGAAACAGTGATAATTACATAATACATCTATGGGTAAATATGACGGAGACTCTGGTGACTCTGTGCCTTCTGTTGGACCATTACAAAGGAGAAACCAGTGGAGCTGTGGAGTGAGCAAGAGTGTCTGTTTGACAGGTCATCCAATTTGTACCGTGACAGAGTGAAAAAAAGAGAAAAGGTGGACAGACCTCGCTGTCCCCTTTCAATCAAACAGGGACATGTCCACATTCTGTGGTGTCTATCTCTTTTTACCATTCTTTCTAGCTGTTTTAACTAAGCAAAATACTCTCAAGTATTCTAAAGTGGTCTCAAGAAATATCTAGTTGCAGTCTTGCAAATACTAACCCTGCAGGATCCCGAGTCTTTGCAAAATCATAGTCTATGACTAAAAACTCAGTGACTTGAGTCTTTTAAAACTAAGAAGCTGTCTACTTCTTCGCAGCAAACTGTACATGGTGTTCACTACTGTGTGCAGGTAATTTATGGTGCTGTGTTAATCATGTTTAATACAGTAGATCTCTGACTAGTGACATGAAACCCAGTGTATAATACTGTATGGTTTGACAATTCAAAATGCTGTACTGTTGGTGAATGCTATTGTAGGCCAAAAGAAGAACTGCAGGTTAGATTTTATGAGCCTCATGCAGAGTTAAAAACACTATTATTGACACAGTGCCACCAATAGGGCACCGCAAATACAACACGGTGAAAAAGTAGGACACTTTGAATGCCTACATCTGTAATTTAACAACTATAAATGTAGTTGAACTACTAGCAAGTTATCACAAAATATAGTTACATTACATGTACTGTAGTTCACTACTACCCAACACTGGCTACAGTGATGAACAGGCTCGAGATTACTTTGGAAAACTGTTGTCACTTAACACAGCCAGCCACTGCATCCAGAAATGTAACCTGAAACTCAATTATGCAAGGAGGAAGCCATATATCAATTCTATGCAGAAACACCACTGGGCCCGAGCTCATCTCAGATGGACCGAAAAACAGTGGAAATATGCTCTTTGGTCAGACAAGTTCAGGTTTCAGTTGAAGGAAAAAGACCATTCCGACTGTTATCAGCAAATACCAGTGTCTGTGATGGTATGGCGGTGCCTCAGTGCCCACGGAATGGATGACTTACATATTGTGAAGATATCAGATTTTAAAGAGATATATGTTGCCATCAAGGTGACATCTTTTCCCAGGAAGTTCATGGATACCCCAAAAGGACAATGCCAGGCCTCATTCTGCATGTACTACATCAGTGTACCTTCATAGTCACATAGTCCGTGTACTTGACTGACCTGCCTGCAGTCCACATCTGCCTCCTATTGCATTGTATGGTGCATAACGAAGAGGAGAATCAGACAAAGGTGACCGCAGATTGTTGAGCGGCTGTATCCAGAAAGAATGAGCCATTATTCCACTTGAAAAACTGCAGCAATTAGTGTCCTCAGTTCCCAGGTGATTAAGAAATGTAATTAAAACAAAAGGTGATGTAACACAATGCTAAACAGGCCTCTGTCCCAACTTATATTGCAGGCATCAAATTGTAGATCTGTTTATATTTACAATATACAATTAAGTTGGTGAAAACATTGAAAACCTTTTCTTTGTATTTTTGTCAGTTAAATAACATGTCTGTGCAGATTCTCAATCAATATGCAATTAAGTGTAGTCAGGAGTGTAACG